TACCCAATGGGTACTTGCTGAATCACTGTTTTATACACTCTGTAGCCAGTCCCTGTGTTCCGTCCCTTGCCCTGCAAGCCCTGTTTCTTGATAATACAGCATTTATTTATCGTGTATTACATTGTAGTATGTAATAAACATTTGTAGTAGTGTAGGATTGTTTTAATTTCTTTTTACTAGGTTTTATAATATTTATTTGTATAATTTGTGATTGTTTCTCCCGGTTTTCTTCCCTTGCGTAGCAAGCCGTGTCTCTTGTAAAAACAACCTCGAAAGATTTGTAGATACACATAGTCTCTACACCTTTACCCTCTGGTCCCTAGGGTCAGCTGATCCCGGGCCAGAGGAAAACTACCGACTGCCAAGGTTTGACGCCTAGGCAGTCGAGACCTCTTATTGAGACCCTTTATAATAATTCTATACAACAAAAGAATACAAGGGCAGGTCTCTCCTGAACGTTGGGATGGCCTGAGGTGCTTATCTCCTTTTCAGTAACCCTAAGCCACTCTGTGCCGAGGCACTATACCAGCTGTAGGGGGGTTAGTCCTACGAGCCAGAGAGTGTGTATCACCAGCCGAAGCTGTACCAAATCACAGCTTGGTAACTGGCCTACTTGCATCCGACCGGATTTGAACCCGGGTCTTCTGCTTGGGAGGCGATCGTGTTACCACTACACCACTATACTATACTGTTACATAATTTAAAAATTATGACCCCTTATTGTGGGCAGAGTATGTGTCTTTGTTGAAGTGTCCTGATTTAAAATCTGAGTGACTGCATTAAAATAATTTAAGGAGAGTACCATAAAAACGTTAAAACAAAAGGAGTAACAACTAGAACATACTAATTAATATCAACATTAGAACAAAATACAGTCACCTAATTCTCTTCTCCTACGGTTGAGTATAGAGGAACCATCTTTGGCGTGTATTAGGGACTTAGACCATTACAAATACCCTGCTGTAAGTTTGCAAGGCATGTGGACTAAGTGGGTTGAGAGTACTCGAATTTGGGAAAGGGGGTTTTTTGGAATTCTAAAACTAAACAAAGAAAAATTTAGTCCAGAAGGGGGCAAAAAAGGGAGTAGTAGGGGGAATAGTAGGGGGGAAAAGGGGGGAAGTGTTTGTCATAAGGAATTTTAGGAATAAAGGGGGGAAGGGGGAAGGGTAAAGGGAAAGCCCCTTAAAAAGTACCCAATTCTTTTATGTTCACCGATGGCGATCTGTGTTTGAGATCGGAAGGCAGTGATGCTTCATCACAAACACTCTTAAGGGGACCATCAGGGTTGGGTTCACGGGGGAGGCTTTTAAGGTTTCTCAAATTGGAACAGGGGTTTACAGGGGACAGGAAAGATTCGATGGAAAATGTTGCCCAACATCTGAAAATTTCGGACACTGAGGGTCGCAGTTTTTTAAAAACCCCTTCCCTTGAATCCCAAAAGGTGAGGTCAGGGCCCGGGGGCAAGAGAAATTACTTTAGTGTCTGTCCCTCCGGCTTGAATAGCGTGGAAACAATTTTTTGCCCCTCCCTCGTTTGTTTCCAGTATCTCCCCCGGATTTATTCTAGGGTTCAGTAGGAGATGTTTTCCCAAGTGAAGTCCATAAAAGGGGTTATTTGCCCTTTTGAATACCCGACAACCCCGGGTTTGTGGACACTGGGCAGAAGGTCTTTTCCCGCTTCTGTTGAGCTTTTGGCCCCCCTTGATTGTCCACGTAAGGAAACTTACGTATCTCATCTAGGGTTTGCTGATATCGGGGGGTTTTTTTGCCTCCTCTAGCGAAGATGAACCCCTTTGCATAAAGGGGTCACTTGTAAGGGCCTTTTAATTATAAATTTTTAATGTGCCCAAACTTGTAGGATATCTAAAGGGGGAAAAATTTCCAAGCCAACAGATGTCAAATTTTTGGGGGGGAATGGTGAGTGGACCCACTTTTTTTCAAGGGTTTTTTGGAAATAAAAGTTTTTAAAATTTTCTGGTTCTTTTAGCCATTTTTGGAGCAGCATATAGAATTTTTGTGAGTACTATTTTTTGGGGAAGAGAAAATTTGAGTGAGCTTGCATTCGGGCCCCCTGTGGGGGTGGAGTTTTGAGGACCCCGTCCCAGGAAAACCCAGCATTTTTGAGTTTCAATTTTGCGTGACTCTTGAAATTTAAGTTTGTCGTTTTCCCTCGGGCCCAAAAAACATTTTGTTTTGACGGTATATTTTAAGGGGTTTATTCCCCCGATAATGAGTGGCCCAAAAGGCTGTGAAAATTAAAGGGCAGATGGGATGTTGGTGTGATCTTTAAATACACTCGGTCTTTTTTTTTGTGGGAAAAGGGTTTTTGGGATAATTTTTTCCACTTACTGCACCAGACATAAGGGTTTACTTGCACCCCCAACGCAAAATTTCCGATGAGCACATTTTGGATCTATTTGGAGAGACTGCTACGTTTTCCATCTTCAGATATTTGAAGAGGCTTGAGTTAGAGCTCCCATTCCAGTGGAAGTGGTCCTTGCATAACTTTACCCGGAAAAGTAGAGGATAAATAGCGGGGTGCAAGGCCCAGAGTTTGGGGAAACCCCAAACCCAAACCAAAACATGGCTTTGGGAAAATCGAGATTTTTGTTAACCTCGCCTTTTAATTTGGGGGGAAAACGGGTAGTTATTGATTATTCTCCCAAATTTTTCCTTTTTTTTTGGTATTTGCTGAGTTTGAAAACGGGCCCTTTTCAAAAAAAACACTATCAAATGCTTTGCTAAATTTTATTACTTTTATTATTTTCATTACTTTTATTATTTACTGTTATTTTTAAGTACAAATGTACCATTATAACACAAACTACAACGTTACTAAAACTACAACGTTATTTTATTCATCCATGAATAAAAAGCTTTAAAAAAAAGCTTTAAAAAAAGCTAAAAATAACACCCAATATTTGACACAGGTCGAGAATATGATTGCTTGCACAGTGAACGAGCTGTAATGAACACAGTACTGGGAGAGGTTACAAGTGTAATGGTAAAGAATTGGTATGTGTAATGTGATGTAAAATGACGTAGAATGTTTCTGTTGATTCGTAAGATTAAGGTCAGGTATCTTGATTCTTGATGAAATGTGTCATGTGTTATGTAGGGGAGAAGTGTAGAAAATGATAACTACCTATTTAATCTTAATATAATTTTATAGATGGTGTTCTGATTAATACATAAAATGATATAATTTCTTATCCCCGGATGGCTACAGCTAAACACTTTCACCCAGCATTATACACATTTCCTGACCTCAATTTCACACCAGTTTCATAGCACCTCGCTCACAATTTCCTTTCCACTAGACCTTCAAAGTAGCAACCTTCACCTATCACCATCCTAACATTAGCCTAACAAGTAACAACAACCAATCATAGATCATACGCACAATTAATCACGTGACACTTCATTCACCCCTCACAGCCGGTCCGTGGTCTCAAAATTTTATGGTTCAATTCACCTCTAATTAGTTCTTTGTAGAAAGTTCTCATATGCAAATTTGATTCTGTAAAAGCGCCTTTAATACAATTTTCCTGACTTAAAACTTTCGAGTCACCAACCTAACTCGTGTATTACTTCAAACATCAAATAGATTTGCCTCTAGAGTAGTTCTCAAGATCCCGATAGCACCGGCCTCTACAGTAGGAAATCTAATATGGTCCTATTTTGATAGGACCATATTGAAATTCAAGACTTGAATCGAATTCGTTTAATTTCAGTTGACATAATTATGTTTATTTTGGAGTGTGGCTATATCGTATTTTAATGTACTGATTACACGATATGCCTCCTCTCAAATTGGTGCACGGTTGTAATCGTTTGATTTACTGATTGGGGTGGGCTAGAATTCTACTGTGTAGCTGTGTACAATCGAATAATTAAATGGACACAATTTTGGTGAGAGTTAAGGGGGCCGGGGGTCTTCATAAAAATTCTCTCGAAATTGATTTTATAGTTGTTTCTGTTAGAGGTGAGTAATATCTATCAGCTGCTTTTGGTCCCATGGAAAAATATTGTTCCTAGCCGAAATTTTCGCCGGTCAAAGGTCAGCGCTTATGTGTAATTGTATTGCGCGAGCGATTTTCAATTGCGTGCCCTGAAAATCGAGTCTAAAAATCTATCTTCTCCTACATTTTTAAAGCAATCACCCTGAAACTTTCAGGATATGTTCTAGGGATCATTTAAAAGAGATCAAACGAGCCGAATTTTGAGATAGGCCTTAGAAAATTGTTTATTCTATTTTGAAAATCTTGGACCTGGAAAAATCTTTAAAAAATTGATGAAGACCCCCCCGGCCCCCTTAATTAAAAAACTCTGTGCCGGCCCATAAGTTTTCTGAATAAACTGTTATCAAGGTTTGTGTCTATAATAATGTCTTGGCGAAACTTGGCGAAACTTGGCGAAATCTTGAAAAAGTGACCTAAAACGATTAATTGAAATTATGTCTTGATTTGCTACTCACGTTTACCCACAAATTTAGTTGTTCACAATTATCGTCGTGATTTTACGTAGTATTTTTAATGCCGATAAAATATTGATCGTGGAAGAGGGAAGATTATAAAACTTAGTAATGTAATACGAATAAATCTCAGAAACCTTAAAAGTCGGATGTTTTGATGTTTTATTCTTTGATAAAATACCAAAAGTTCAAACTTTTGGCACTGTCCTGTAAAGATAACAATACTGAGAGCACTGAGCAGTGAATGGAACCAATTTCCGGTTTAAAGGAGAATTTTTGTAATCTAGTTATCAACCGGTCCCTACTAGCTAATTCAAGTCATCACGCTTTTGATTTACAATTCCTCAGTCCTCATTCCTTGTTCTGTGAAACATGTTACCTTCAGTGTTTTAATTTTCGAGACAAACGTTTCGAGGTGGAGCTGTCCACTTTAATCATTTTAACTTAACTTTAAATAGTCATTAATGTAATGCATATATGACTTGAGTCAAATTCATATAAATAAATGTAAATCTTAAAATTAGCATAATTGTCTGCACGTCATATTGATTGCTAAAATCTGATTTTACTCGCATGCGAATCATTTCTGTTAAATATTCGAATAACCAACCCATGATGATATAATACATACCACAGGATGTCATACATTCTCTCAGTTGATCAGGGTACCTCCAGCACACGTGCTGTCGTAATTGACTGCAACACTGGGGTTATAATCGCAGAGCACAACGTTGTGCTCCCCAACATCTTCCCCAAGGAGGGCTATGTTGAAATACTCCCCAACCAAATCCTTGAGACTTCTAACGAATGTATTGATACAGTTGTTGCCAGTGCTGGTGCTAAGGGAGTACCTCTTGATAAGATAGCAGGGTTAGGTATTACAAACCAGAGGGAGACGACCATTGTATGGGATGCTAAGAGTGGGAAGCCATTGTACAATGCGATTGTGTGGCTGGATAACAGGACCAATGAGACGGTGAATAAATTGGTGGATGCTACTCCCAGCAAGACGGCTACACACTTCAAGTCAGTAGTTGGACTCCCTATTTCACCTTACTTTAGTGCTGTAAAACTACGTTGGTTGCTGGATAACGTGCCTGGAGTTTCTGAGGATGGTGTTCTGTTTGGTACCGTTGACACCTGGTTGATATGGAATCTCACCAGGAACCAGGAGGAAGGAGAACAAGGAATTCATGTGACTGACGTAACAAATGCTTCCAGGACCATGTTGATGAACCTCGAGACGTTAGATTGGGATAAAAAAGAAAGTGTCAGTTTTCGGTGGTAAATAAAAAGATTTTTGCCAAAAGATCTGGCAGTGCAGAGATATAGGGGGCCCCATCAGGCACCGGTGCGATAAAAGGGGAAAAAACCTATTGCAGGTGTCTGGGGGACCAACAGGCTGCACTCTTTGGACAGCTTTTGCTTCCGGAGGCGAGGCTAAGTGTACCTAGGGGGACTGGGTTTTTATGCTGCCAATATGGCACTGACTTTTCCAGTCCCGCACGGACTCTTAACCAACCCTTGCATACAAGGTTTGGGTTTGGTCCCCGCAATATAGCCTTGGAAGGAGCTGTAGCTATTGGGGGGGGGGTAGTGCGGTGGGGTGAGGTTTAAATTTAAGTCATCTCCAGCAGCACGAGGTGGGAGCAACTCAGTGGGAAATGTTGACAGTACACAGACCCCCTACTTTTTAAACCCGCTTTCAGTTGGTTTTCTATGCTCTTACTGGGGGCCCCACTGCTAGAGGCCTATTAAATTTGGGAATTTCTGCCCCACACTAATAAAGCCACATTGCCAGGGGGCCCCTTGGGCTGGTGCTTCCAGGGGTGTGAAATTTTTTGAGTCCATGGGCCCCAGAAGGGCCAAATTTTAAATTCAGTGCTGAGAAAATTTATGGGGGGTTTTGAAAAGAATAAGCCCGTTTTGGGGAAAGCAAGCTGACATTCCGGGGATTTTGTGGAAAGCCCCTGCAGAAAACTGCAGGAAAAACAGCTTTTGGGTGCAGGAAATTTGGGTGCTGCAAGGCACTAGGAATTTTTGGGAAAGTCGAAAAGCTGCCTTTGGGGAAGGGACTCACTAAAAATCCGACATGGGGGGACAAGGAAAGGGAGCAGAATTACCCAAATGGAAAGGGTGCTGTGCAGAGGTCCAGAAATTTTTTTGGGATAATTAAACTTTGGAAACTTTGGAATTTTTTGGATATTTAACTTAAAGGGTTTTTTGATTTTTAAAATACGAAAAAATTGTATAAATTTTGTTTACGTAATTAAACTTAGAAAATAGTTTTTTGGGTGGGGTAATCCCTTTTTTAAAGTTTTTGTGAAAGTTTTAAGTTTTTATTTTCAAGTTTTTTTAAAACTGTTCGTATGTTTCATAAAATTTAAGTAACAAGGGGCCTTTTCAAATTTTTGGGGAGAGTTTAAAATTTGGATTCTAAAAATTTTTTTGCTGTTCGATTTTTTAGCATACGAAAAAAACCAGATCTTTTTAAAAAGAAAAAACAAAAATAGAATTCCCAAATTGAATAAAAAAAAAGCCATAGGATGGCAAATGTTTTGCCAAACTGTTCCCCTCTTCATTTTTTTTTAGATTTTGTAAAAATTTTGGAAAATTTAGGTTCATATTTATTCATTTCGTTTAAAAAGGGTTCCAAAAACTTCAGTTTACTAAAATTTTTTAATCAAAAAAGTTTCAGTTTGTTTTAAGAAAAATTTATCAAAAAAATTATGGTATTATTAAAAAATTAAAAAAACGAAAAAGTTGTGAAATCTTATCCCAAAAAAAATTTTTAAAATCTGGTTATTTTAGATATATGTGGGAAATCAAATTTGGTTTTTGGGAGTAATATGATGTTAGGGTAATTGGGAATATTATTGATTAAGGGTGACGCTATGATTATTGAATTAAAAAGTATAAACAAATTATTGTATTTGAATGTATAAAAAAAAAAAGCTTTTTTAAAAAGAAAAATTTTTTACTTTTAAATATTTAAAAATAAAACTATTGTATTAGGTAGTAAATATTGTACTAGATGTAAGTTTTTTTAACTTTTTTTGATTTCACCAAACCTTTTAATTTGTGAAAAAATCTACCTTCGTTTTTTACTTTGTTTATGAAAATTTTTTGGGTACCTTTACTGTTACCCTACGTTCATTTCCACAAAAATTCTAGAAAATTTACTTTTTATACGTGAAAGTCTGTATCTATTACCCCAAAATACCCTGTGATGCCCAAAGGGGGGTAAATGATGGGAAAAGGGGGGCCCTTATAAACAAAACAGAAAGAAGCGTAATAGGACACCCCCATCTCGTGAAGGAAATGTTTATATAAATTTCCCGAGGGTGCTATACTGCTTATTTTTAATTCTAGCTTTTATTCCACACCCCACTTTGCGCGTATCAAATTTTTGTACTGTTTTGTGACGCATGACAGTGGTTCTAAATTTTTTCTCTGGTTTTGGGTTTTTGGCTTTGTTTAGTAAGCTTTACCTACACACAAATTTTTTTGTTTTTCTTTGCGGTTGTAGTTTAATCGTTGTAGTAGTTTTAATTTGTAGTGGTTAATTAAAGGGGTTTCAGAATTTTAGTAGAAATTAGTGTCTGTAGTCTGTACCGTGTGGTTTTTTTGTGTAATGTTTAACGTTTTGGTTTTAAATTTTCGTGTTAGGGTTAACCCCAAATGGGAATAACCAAACTTAATCATTTTAAACACATGTTTTAAACCCCTGTAAAGGGGGGAACCAATGTAAACCGTTCCCAAAACGTCTAGTAGCCTTTTGTTAATTAGCTTTGAAAAAATTTCCTTTAATTGTAATCTTTAAAGTAGCCCCGATCAGTAACTGCCCCTAATATGGGCGATGTTTAATAGCATTTCCCACATTATAATTTTATATAATTTACCCCCTGCCAATGAGAATGATATAGACTGGGGAGATGATATTGAAAATGTGCCAAATCTTTTGTACCAAAAACATGGGACTCAGATAGATTTTTACCCAAATAGATTATACCCTTGTATTGGCCCGAATGGGTTTTTAAACGGTAATCCCCGGATTTTTGTTCCCCTTTTTTTTATTGATCTTCTTTTTTCTTGAGGCTCCCCTTTTTCCCCACAAAACGAACAAAAGAAAAAATGTATTTGGGGAACACGATTTTTTGGGCCGAATCAAGGAACGAAAAAAAGACTTTTTTTCCGAATTCGAGATAAGATCCAAAACGGCACTTGGGCTTGTGGGCTGAAAGTGTTTACTGTTTATCCCGATGTGCGTGTTTTTCTGGGTTTTTCTTTTTTTTTTCTTTTAATTTTTTTAAAATTTTTTAAACGTAACAAAATAAACGATGTTATTCCCAACCCAAAAGTTTCCCTTTTGTATCTTTAAAGTTTATAAAACTTACCCAAAGTTTTTTTTTCTATTAAATTGAACCCTTCCCTCTTGATTTCTGCGTTGCAAGGGTTCTCACAAAACCCTAAAATATCTTGAAACATGCACAGGTTACATGCCAGGGACTTGATATTTTAGGCCGGTGTAGACAGTAAAATTCCTTTTAAATCTTGCACTCCCGCTTACACAGGGGTTTTAAAACTAACGGGTTTTTCTTCTCAATGAATTTTTAAAACCCAAATTCAAACTGGAAAAAATAACTCTTTTTTTTCTTTTCTAGCGAATATGTCTCTGTACCCCACTTTAGAGGACATGGAGGGCAGCCAATGGCTTCCCCCCAGCAGGGTGCCCGGGAAAAAAAGCTCCCTCAGAAAGCCATTTACTGCTTTTGGTTCTGGGGAGTCAATTGGTAAGTCTTTAAAAACTTTACAGTGAAGTAAATTTTTTTTTCCTCTATATTGTGAAACCGTCTTATGTGCAAAAACGGGTTTCCCCTGTATGGAAGTTCCACTTAAATGAATTATACCGAACGGATACTTATTGGCAAACTGCCAAACTGAATCAAAAAAAATAATGAAACAGCGACCAAAAATTTTTATGGGGTTTAAGTTAAACTCTTGTATATGAACAACAATTTTTTTTCTCAAGAAATTAACTTTATTTTTGTTATACTTATATTTTCCCGTACAATATTCAAGCCAAAATGAATGTAAAGTAAGGGAAAAAAAAGATAAGCTTTGAAAGTAAGAATGACAAGCTTTTGTTTTTCACAATTTTTTCACCGTAATCTCATGAGTGTAAAATAAAAAATAGTATTCCAGGTTCGCCGATTAAATCATAAGCTGACAGTAGTCTGTGACCGTGTTCAGGCCGCGGCGAAGTTTATTATGTACTATGCACAACATTTTTATCAGCGAGTACGATAAGATTCATAACCAATTCATGCAAGGATGGCGCGCGCGCGCAGTTCAATTCTGATCGAATGACATCAATAGTTTACACCAAGTCTGAAGTCTTTACAGTTTACACTGCAGTCATTGTTCTCACTATAACAGTTCGAATTATCATGGAAACCCTCTTGTATGGCAAAACAGATATATAGCTCCCAATCAACAGCCGTCAGAGTTGATTTATTAAGACACACACATGACGGATGACATCCAAGAATCACTCATTTTACATTTTCCCTTCCCCTCTTTTGGAACCAGGTTTTGTGTACATGGATCAAATATTCTTCATAACTTGAGATTGGAGACTTCTCTCATGTACATTCGATCACAAAAAGTATCGTGACAGCCCTATGGTAAAAAGTTGAAGACCATATTACAATTACATTCTATACGTGGTAATAGTACGGGCTACCAGCCTGGCTACTACCAGGGGGGTAATAGGCTGCTTGATTTCGTTTAGTCTAGTGAAACCATGATATTACAGAGTGGCTATAGCCAGAATGTCTAACTATGTTTTTCATCCGCTCTTGAGGCAGGTCCTTTCAATTTACGAGTGTTAAACGATCAACTGCCAGTGTAATGTGAATTGTGCATCAATGTTCCTACACTGGTTCTACTTATATAAAGTGAGAATACTGAAGCAGCAGTAATATTAGTTCATAGTTGTTACACGTTATGTATCGTACTACGGAAGAGTTGTGTATTGACGAGTGGATGAGCGGAGGGGCCTGTACCACATCAACAGGGTCCAACACACCTGATACCTGATGGTCCATGTTCTGTCAGGAGAACCTAGATCATCAGTCTCCTCCCAGCATCATCCAGTCTCCTTCCAGCATCATCACCATTGTGAACGTTACACAAGGAGAGACACGCTCTTCCGCGCAGCGTCCACAGGGAACCGTCCATACATTCTTTTTAATGAACCCATCTACAGCCATCTTGAACCAGTTTACATTCAACCGCCGACAAAGCCATGCCAGAGAACGCCAGTTTAGCGATCAAAGTGAAGCAATCTACAATCCAGTCCCTCTAAGAGAAGCCCCACAGCCGTTACTGAGGACCACGTGACAGTCAGCCCTACCGTCAGGTGGCATCATACACACCAGCTGTGTTCTGTGCCACTGTGATACCGCCGTGAGCGAGGGATGGGTCCTGTGGGTGTGACACTTTTTCACTCTACCACTCCCCGCCCTCTCTCCCCCCAACAGTCTTACTGCCCAGATCTTATACTCCTCATACCTTCCTCTCGGTAATTCAACACCCCTAACTTCATAGCACATTCCTCTCTTTCATTAACAACAAGAATTGCGCCCGTTGTTTCGTTTTGGCGGAACGCTAGATTTCCATTCACTATAACTATAAAATATAATCCAATCAGCTCACTTCATAATAATAATATTGATACACATCAGTACACTATACTACGCATGCCACCTACATAAATTGGGCTTATTACCGAATACTATATAGAATATACACTACATATTATACATTAAAATACAGTCGCGCCGCGCATTCATTGACAGGCTAGCTATATGGGACACGTTCATTTGAGTTTGAGGATATAGGTAAATATAAGTGACCCTATTAAAGGCACAGTGCTAGTTGACCTTTGTCACACTATGAAATTACACAAACCCTTGATGGTTAGGATAATCGTCTCATCCTCTAGGCTAACTTTGTCACTTAACGATATCTTAATCAAGCTGATAAGATATCGCCTAAATACGGCCGGCACGGAAATGGTTACATTGTCACACTATAAACATGTGACGGAGTAAATTATGGACCCCCTTACTGCCGTTTTTGACCAAATTTTTGAGTGTCCAGTTGAATTGGATGGGTACATATGACCATTACCTACATATTTGACGAGTTTTTTCGTTAGATGGTGCACTCAGGTTTACTCTGTCACACATTTAAGAAACATGTGAGAATGTTTAGGGCACCCTGATAAGCAATGCTGAGTAGTGTAGGTTATTTGATGGCCTGGAAGTGCTAGGAATTGTTATTATATCATATAGTCCGTAAGGAATTAAAACACAGAAGGCACAAACAAGTTTACTTTGTCACATAATCTTGATGATATCTGAACATGTGTGAAATTGAACAAATAATGATATACCAGCTGAAACCCCTTATATTACGTACTATGGATCAAACAAAACTGCTAGTACCACGCACCAGTCACATAAATCATTATCGGGTGGTAATATGTTTAATAGTGTCACAATTAAACTACCGCAACATGGTCAAAAATAGGGTAATTTCGTCACAAAAAATTATTATAACTCTGTTAGCTCCTTGCTGGCAAAATAACTAGTTCATTGATGATAAAGTTACATAGTATTCTAATAGAGGTATAGCTCTTCAAAATAGGGGCAAGACATGTTTACTTTGTCACATCAGTTATTATACGAGTTAGGTAATCGTTCATCAGATTAACAGATCTTTTTCGTAGTTTGGATCGATTAATATAGGCAATAAAGCATCATATGCCAATTTTAACACACTATCTTGATATTGTTGGGGCAGGGAAAGTTAATTTTGTCACATTTTCAGCGTTTTTGACAAATTAATCTAAAATTGTTAAACTTGAGCTCTGATGTTCTGGACAATATTCGACCAATCGTTTCTGAAAGAATGCTGAATTCTTATAGAGTTATAGATCTTCAAAATAGAGGCAAGACATGTTTACTTTGTCACATCAGTTATTATAAGAGTTAGGTAATCGTCATCAGATTAACAGATCTTTTTCGTAGTTTGGATCGATTAATATAGGCAATAAAGCATCCTATGCCAATTTTAACACACTATCTTGATATTGTTGGGGCAGGGAAAGTTAATTTTGTTACATTTTCAGCGTCTTTGACAAATTAATCTAAAATTGTTAAACTTGAGCTCTGATGTTCTAGACAATATTCTACCAATCATTTCTGAAAGAATGCTGAATTCTAATAGAGTTATAGATCTTCAAAATTGGGGCAAGACATGTTTACTTTGACACATCAGTTATTATTAGAGTTAGGTAATCGTCATCAGATTAACAGAGCTTTTTCGTAGTTTGGATTGATTTATATAGGTAATAAGGCAGCCTATGCTAATTTTTACACACTATCTTGAAATTTTTGGGGCAGGAAAAGTTAATTTTGTCACATTTTTGGCGACTTTAACAAATTTATCTAAAATTGTAAACTTGAGCTCTGATGTTCTGGACAATATTCTACCGATTTTTTTCTGAAAGAATGTTGAATTCTAATAGAGTCATAGATATATAGATCTTCAAAATAGGGGCAAGACATGTTTATTTTGTCACATCAGTCATTATAAGAGTTATTATAAGAGACTATTTCATTCTATAATCATTGTTTTTAACCTATTTACGATTTCGTATCATTTTTTGTGACAATGTAAACATCAAACTGATCTTAACTTGCATCAACTACATTGTCATCATGTAAAGTTTTCCCGCCTTTCAAACCAAAATCGGATATAAATAATCGCCCAAAATTTAAAATTCCATATATTGTGACAGAATTAACCTCATTTCCCAATAACCAAGTGCCTGTATTAGCTAACTATTCGAAACAACATATGTTAGGGCTATGATTGGTAGATCAACCATCAAATAATGAGTTAAAAGGTTTTTGAGGACACCTCACAGTAGAATAGAGGTTTGGTATTCTGAGTGTGACAAAGTTACCCAAATATTGCCTTGTAACCGTTTGATCCGTGCCCTTTAACCAATGTTGTATCATAATTGTTAGATGACCTAATCTACTATATTTTAGGCCAAGTAATAATAATTAGACAACTGCAGTTAACTAAGTCACACAAAATGTGACATTTGAACCATTATAGTGCCTAACAACAATAGATTTTCTTTCTGAGCAGTGCATATGGGAGTATGGGTTACGTGGCTAATGTTCAGAACTTCCTGAACGTGCTAAGTTAATAGATGTCAAAATTAAGCCACTATCGTTGAAAACGCTATCATTTTTGTTTACCAATATCCTCAAACTCAAATGAACGTGTCCATATACATCATATCTCCGCAAGCAATACTCGCGCGCTGCACTGCGCGCTAGTTGACATGGTTACTAACGGAAGTACGTACCGACGACATATTTTAACCCACCTACAACGTTCTCCAAAATCCACGTTTTTCTGCAAAAACGTCCATTCGTAACCTTTCACTATTGCCTTTTTATAAATAAAAAGGGTGAACGGAAAAAATTCCAGACTACCAGACTAGATGAACTGTTCATGTTCATGTTCTAAGTAAGGTAAAATGCTCCCACACGTAAAATTTAAATATGTCCCGAGCAGATCACCCCGATATTCCCAGATATAGCCTCCAGCCTGTACCCGACCCTGGATGAGTGGATGGGGATGGACTCTAAAGCCATGCAGCTCTACCAGCCTCTCAACTCAACTACTGGAGCCATTGCTCCTGTGACTGGTGGTCATCAATGTGAGTTAATTCTTATCTAATATTTGTAAATTGTTTCCAAATACTTTGCTCATCTTGGCAGTTAGGTGGACAACTTTTTATTTTCAAGTGTTATTCATTTAAAAGCGTAAGCTAATCCAGCTGTTTCAGCCCATGCCGAGATCAAGCAGGGAGTCCGCCAAGTGGTTGGCTGCAAAGATCCTGGTTCCGGCAAGATTGGTCTCTCTGTGGAATCTATCAGCAAGGGTTAGTTTCTTACTCGCACCATTTTTTATTGAGAAGAATATGGGAGTGTTTCCTCTTATTAGTATATATAGTATACACTACTTAAAGTTACACGTGTACCTATGTCGTATACATACTGTAAAACCCCGACCTACCGGCTACCGTACTATTTTCCTTTCCCCGAATCGTACATTGAATCAAAATTGTATCGTGTGTTAGTTTTATTTTCTTGTAATAATGTCCAAAATGTAACTACGGATTCAGTTTTATCGTGTTTTCTCATTCAGGAGTGTTCGTGAGCTATGTCGAGTCGGGCAGCATCGCCGCTAAAGCGGGACTCAGATTCGGCGATCAGATTGTTCAAATCAATGGCCAACCTGTTGCAGGTACGCTTAATTATTACCATAGTGATTAGTGCGACCACCTCTTTTACGGATGATATGTTGCGCAGCGATTGGGTGGAGCAATAAATAATCGTTATCGTTAATATTCGTTCAATCACAAATAATGAAGAAAACGAGCTTTAAGAGAAAACTTTGTCCAGGATGGAATAAGAAGAAGACGATAGAATTCCTGAAGAAAGCAGACCCATCTCAGATCACATTTGCTGTGAGGGATAGACCGTTTGAGAGAACTATCACTTGTGTCAAGGATAGCGGCGGACACATCGGCTTCCAGTTTAAAAAAGGCAAAATCAACGCTATCGTGAAGGTTAGTAAAATGAATCGTGTAATTTGTTATTTTAACAAAGATAAATTTGGGTTGAGATTTGGTTTTACTTTTATGCCAACGGAACGGCTAACAAGTTTCTGTACGCTGAACTATTTTATCACACAAACAACGTTATTATACAATGCTATCAAATAATGTTAGACAATGTTATCAAACACAAACAAAAACTTTATTTCGCGAATAAAAATGTGCCAAGAAGCATTTTGAGATGCGACAAAATCATTCAAAATATACAAAACAGTAAAGGTCGCTTTATGCCTATTTGTGCCCCTGCTTCTAAAGCTGTGTCCCTTCATCCAATATTCAAATACTATAACTGTCACCAAGATGTAACCCTGTTAAGGTCCTTAACAAGATGTCAAGGTCCTTAACAATCTTGTTAAGGAAGGGTTACATCTTGGTGACAGTAATACCCAATACATACATCTATTCCCTTCAAATTCCAAATCACACTATGCCAATTTCTCGTCCTCATGATCTGATGTAGAGGACAGACATGACCATGTTGATAAGGAAGAAGATAACAGCAACTATTGTCAGCACACCGGATACCACATTGTTGAATTCTCCAACCACAATTTCGCCATGAATTAGATACACCAAGACCAGAACAACTGAGAAAAAAGTTTAATTCACAGTTGTGAAACTCGTGCTGTGAAATATCACGCTTCAAAAATGTTACACAACTCAAGTTTTATGATTGGTATCTTGAAGAATACTCACAAACAACGACAGAAAGGCCCGTTAAAATAATCTGGATCATTCTTCCCTCTGAAAATATGAAGTTACACTAATCGTTGTTTAATCTTTACTCTTTCAAGAATGTTGTCCTTCTTTAACTGGTAACCTAAGCTACGTTTCCAGCTAATGGATTTGAAATTTTAAAATTTTGAAATTTTGATGAGAAACCTTTGCATAAGCTTCCGCATAAGGCCAGGTATGTAGGGGGAAATGAAAATGTTCACTTACTTGTATGGAAAGCTCCTTTAACAGCAGTCTCCGTAACAGTACCCAAACAACCACACCATCCCATCTCGATAAACACGACGGGAACGTAAACAATTAGCAGGACAACTCCCAGAATAAATCCGAACAGAAGGGTCAAAACTGAAGTTGTACAATGTAAAGTGCCCTCTAACACCTAAGTTTGTTGATATAAATAAGATAACGGGATTAAGGACGCCCCCTTTGCAGTTTGCACCATCTCAGCAAAATTTCATATATTTATTTGCAATATTTTTTGTTTGTTTCAATCATGTTCCTTTTTACAATCAGTATCAAGATCAAATTAATTAAGAAGCTGATTAACATGAAATAAAGGACAAAATACATCATTTCCATTATATGTTCGTTTTTAATACGAAAGTGCATTGATAATGATATTACCCATTCCAGGGCCAAAACATCAGACATTTTAGGAAAAAGGTACCAGCTCATATTTCTCCTTCTTTCCTGTCCAGGAACCCAGGAAATGTTGTCGCCTTATTGCAAGATACGTATTTCTCAGTACAGTAGCAGCCAAATTTCGTTAAATTCTAGTTTGAGAAAATGTATGCATATTGTTACAAACAGCATAAGATGGTTGAAAATAATTAAATAAAGATTTTACCTTCGATCCGGCCCCATGGATTTACATCATCTACCTCAAAACCGACACCTTGGAGAGCATCAACTGTATCACTTATTTTAGATGAAGTATCTACGTAAACGAATATAGATAAGATGACGCCAATGAAGGTACAAATCAGCCCAATAAGTGGTGTTCTTTCAGACATGGCTCCTCAACTATGAAAACGGTGTTAAGATTATCTGATTATCACTGCAGTATAATAATAATATCTGGGATAAGGTGACACGTGACTAATTATCACTAAAAACTAGGGATCAGGGCCACTGGCCAGGTTAGTGACAAAAATTGTGTAGTAAGCCATTTTATCTTCATTCGAAAGTTTGAACAAACAACGAGTATAGACAGATCACTGTGAACATATCGACGAGAAGACAATTAACTCTATCGTTGCGTAGGTCATAATGACTGCAAATAAGTTGTAAATTGTTTGGGTGACTGGGGAATGATGCCTAATCGTATCTTAGGTAATTATGGTCGACGCTCGTACGTAAGATTAAAAGATGAGCTGTTGCGAATTTATCCGTTTACCTCACAACACTCAAAACAAAATTAAATGCCGTTTAATTATCATTATCCCCGTTAATTTGAAATTAAGTTTCTAATGATGATCATTGAAACTGTAACGAATCAATTCGTTGATTGACAAAATCAAACATTTGATTGTGATTAAGTTGCTAAAACTGTATGAAATATAACACAGACATGAAAAATAATTTTGGTTGCCCTTTCTCCTAACAAGAAATACCATGGCTTTGAAACCAAACCAGTATTATATCATACAATCTCACAAATCAAAATCTCAAAAATCACAATATCTTTATTTCGTACATATATATAGATGATGACCAAACAATATTTTAGTATCTCTCCAAAAGTTCAATTCATAGTTTAAGCTGGATTTCTTCACAAAATGGGATATAATAAAATTCTTAATATACAGTTATAAAAAAGCCTTCCTAGTTGCCATGCTCATTTGCTACTCTGTCCCACGTGATATTTCGCTGCTCTAATTATATACTAATTGACGGCCTAGATATGTGTTATCTATGTTCCTTGTCCTTAAGATCTGATGTAGAGGACAGACATGATCAGGTTGATAAGGAAGAGGACAACAGCAACTATTGTCAGCACACCGGGGAGAACTTCTTTGAATTCTCCAACCACAATGATTCCCCAAACGAGGAACACCACTAACAGAGCGACTGAAATATTATTATGTTTTAATATTCAACTTAGTAAAACTACTATAGAAGTGGCCAATGTGGCTCCTTCGTGGGATTATCAGTCGCTTAATCGTTAAATCAGCTGCAATACATACTTTATTTTAATAATATTTGCAATACATAATAAAGCAGTTAATTGACTTTTGAAGAAACTGGATTTTAATAATAAGTAGGATAACAACTTGAAAGGTACTTACAAGCAAGGAGAGAAAGACCTGTCAAAATCATCTTCACAATTTTACTCTCTGAAGATATAAGGTTGTTTTTAATTTAATAAAAGTTGGCCCTACTTTTTAGCTTTTTTGTTTTTTTGAATTCAATTTACCTTTAAATTCGCCCTGCCTTTGAATTCAAATAGCCTTTGAATTTTACTTGCCTTTGAATTCAGCTAGCCCTTAATTTAACTAACAAATTTAAAATACTTACCATAACTTATTGTAAAACAGAGCACAAAGAGGTTTGTAAATATTCATAACTGGCATATTTATCATAACTTGCATATTTATTATTTAAGCGTATTAAAAGCTGCACATGAAACTCACTCTGTTCGTAAGCTCCTTTAAGTACAGTCTCCTTGATTGTTCCCAGACATCCGCACCATTCCATCTCAATGAACACGACAGGAATGTAAACAATCATCAGGATGACTCCCAGAATAAACCCGATCAGAAGGAGATAATCTGAAATGAACGAGTCAATGGAAAGAATGTACTTCCTCGTCTGAATCACCCGTTATTGGCAGTGTCAAGCGTTCACATGTTTTCAGTATGAGAAACCTATCGTTGTGTTGCATCTAATATTAAATATTATTTCTTACATGCAGCTGAAAGCGTGGCCTCAGCATCGCTTCCTAGAGCTACTAATGCCTCGTTTGTTGAGCTCACTGCACTTGAAGCATCCACGAATACATAGATGGATAAGATGACTCCAATGAAGGTGCAAATCAGCCCAATAAGTGGTCCTTTTTCAGCCATGGCTCCGCAACTGAGAGAAATCATTAGATATGGGATTTTGTGACACGTGATTGAAATGATAAGAATGCTAGCGAAGGTAAAGATAATAATACAAATTTTATCTATTTTGTCGATTTTATTCCGACTTGAACTCTAGGAGCTACTCAGTAACTCAGCCGCTTATTTAATTAAATCTGAGGGTTGGGGTGTAAAACTATAAAATGGTCAAAAAATGGTTGTCTACTATTTTCGTAAGCAAAAAGTTTATTAACATGCCGCAAAAAAAACCCATGGCACTGCAGCAGATAGATATTCTCGGAAACAAATACAAGCGAGCAGGTATATAAATCTAAAAGGCAAATTTCCGTTTTCAACAAATTAGATGAAATGTCGCAAGTGCAATTTGTACCACCATCAGCCAGTAATGAACAACCTGCCGGTCTCACAGTTCCGCATTTTTCATTCAGAGTAAATTTAGCTCGCTCTTATTCGTTGCCAGATGCAATTTGGCACAAGATACAACCTGCACTATAGATAGAGCAAGCCCTATCTAGTACATCTGATGAAGCTGCCTCACCAGCATACCTCCTACTTATCGGAGATGATCATGGGAAAATTGCTCACCACATCATGATTAGAAACAAATGTGGAGAGTAAAATTGGAAATAGGAACGTGCAAATGGTGATATTTATAGCGAATAAACTGAGCAGTTAGCAGTTAATCAGGTGACAAAGAGAGCAACTCTTTCTGCAGTGCAGCTATATAATATATTGCAAGCATTAGTCCTGACTACCACCGCGCGTTTCTAAAATTGTAAACAACACAAACTATCGTACGATTATCAAAAACTACGAAGTTCCGTAAATGAGACACTAATTAGAATGCGAGACCAGTTGTATGACTTCTACCGGCTGATATAATGAGAAAGAGTGTTCGTTTCCATCTACATTCTACATTCTACACTCTACAGCCTCGAAAAACAGCGGTCGCGCTGGCAAAATAAAGATATGGTACGTGTTTGTGCTCCAAGATTCTTCGAAGCGGGGTTGTAATGGAAGAATAATCTAAATTGATACGGGGTCCGAGAGGGTTATGAGTGGAATGTGAAAAATGTCATTGTCCCCTGGTAGTCGAGTTTTGCGTCGAGATGGTAACGAGTTTACTTACTAATTACTGTAAAGATATGGTACGTTTCCAATGTCCATGCGATTGAGATTTAACTTGTTTTAAAAACACGTATGTTACTGTTAGTTCATGCAGCATGCAAAGTGCACTAAAAACGTAGCTAGTCAAGCAGCAACTGAAAAGTCCGCAAATCGTATGACTAAAGCGTGTAAAGTGAACGTTTGAAAGTCTGGATATTGTGGTGTGATGTCGTATCAATTAACTAATTAGCTTAAATTAACACCTATTAAGTCCAGACAATGGTCTAGGAGGATAAATGATTTGTGTCCTCCAGTATTCACACCAATTTAATAGTTGCGCACCACTTTTTAGCCATCAAAAAGGTAATTAGGAATGTAGGCGACGGATCTCCTAATTCGTTTAATTTAAAACACATTAAAAATATCGAGCCTATTGAAAGGTCTCCAAAATTTTTGTAAATAGGTAGGAAAAATGTACACTGTAAAACTAAATTGTTCAGAAACATAATCTCTTTAAAATATTGTAGAGTTGACTTACCAGCCGCCTTCACCACCAACAATGCTGTATTTAGCCATCTTGTCTGAAAGTCACACCTTGGAATACCGTTTATTAGGTTATCTTAACCTTCAAGTTAATTCAATCAACATCATAGGATAATTCTTTATCGGAAGATATTCCCTTTTCATGGTATATTAATAAATAATGTGTACTGCACAGGAATTATTTCAGGAATTTAAAAATAAACATTTCAGGACTCGTCTGCAGCCAGGAATGGAATGCTAACTGATCATTTCATTACGGAGATAGACGGTCAGAACGTCGTCGGAATGAGTGATGACAAGATTCTCAAGGTCATCAAGAGCAAAGACAGAACTGTCACGGTCACAGTCATGCCTGAGTTCGTCTACGATCACATGGTAAGAAAATAACCGTTTACCGTAAGAAAATAACCGTTAACCCTTAAAGCAAATTCGCTTTGTAACTGGTTGAAATCTGTAATAAAACAGTGAAAATACGACTTCAGATACCAAACAATATTCGTAGTACGAACATGGATCACGAAAAAAAGTATATACACAAATGAAATATTACCAAATAGAACGCGTGTACTAAGCCTAACCGTCTCTCAGTGTAACTAACCGTCTATCAGTGTACGTGTCATTCACACATTAGCTAAAATGTGAGATATTGGATTTTAGCATGGTAACGCCAAATTCCCTCTAAATTGTGCATGTAAAGCTACCATTTACCGTAAGAAAATAACCGTTAACCCTTGAAGCTAATTCGCATTTTAACTGATTGAAATCTGTTGTAAAACATGGAAATACGATTTCAGGTGCTAAACAATAATCGTAGTACGAACAATATCGCGAAGGAAGACCCTGATCTTTCCTTGTTCTGGTGCGAATGAGCAGATCTCAAAACCACATACCGCAATTTCTTAAGTGTAGCATTAACCACATGAGAATGAAACATCCGAAAAATCACCCGCTAAGGATTTAAGGAGGCCAGGGGTGGTTCCCATATTGCGGTATTGTTCAAACGCGGACACGGCCCCCGGGTACCATGGTTATTAGACATTACGTCAGATTATTTCCGAACAAGATCCGAGTAATCAAGCATATAATTAGTCAGATCTGACCAAAATCTGACTAATCAACCATATTATATTGTAACAATACGATCACATACGGATATAATTTATGTTTGACAGAGGAGAATATGGATAAAACGTGTTGAGGATTTGCAATGCAATGGATGCTGTTACCTTTGATAGACGGTGCTAATGACGCCAGACGAAATTTGAAAAGTCAAACAAAATGATAGGCATGGAATTAAAAACGAATAATATTAAAATTCAACTTTACCACACGCTGATCATAAGTAAAACTGTACATAAAATATTCCGCTAGAATCCAGATCATATCTTTTGAAACACCGAAAAGGATCACGAAAAAAAAGCATACAAAATTGAAATATAACCAAAGAGAACGCGTGGACTAAGCCTTTAACCCAAGTAGGGATAGTCTACCACTGTACCAGTGTCACCTTCGGAGCGACACATCAGCTAAAATGTGAGATATCGGATTTCAACATGGTAACGCCAAATGCTCTCTAAAGTCTATATGTAAAGCTACACTGTTTTATATCGACTGTAGGCTACACTCTAAATATAATTAGTCCCACTCCCGTGGGGAGGATGGCACATTATAATAGAGCGGTAACGCCGCTGAGAACTGGAGCCCTTTATCAGACCGCGTTAGTGCTCCTCCTATATTATAACACTGGAGCTAACAATATTACAATATAGTTTCCACACAATATTACAATATAGTTTCCACACAATATTACAATATAGTTTCCACACAATATTACAATATAGTTTCCACACATGAATAAAGTTCCCATTATTGACCTACTACCGCACTTTGTTTTTTTCCGCAACTATCGGCTGATATTCGTTCTATCAGATTTGTGCATAAATTGGTACTGCTGTGTACAATGCGAAAGGTTGACATGCCCGTAGCTATGATTAGGGTCAAACATTTTCCATGACGTAACATAAAAAACATCGGAAAAAAAATACTACTTTTAATAATCAGGAAAAACACATATGAACAATTATTTCTTTAAAAAATTTCGATTCCTTATACCCATGAATTTTATTATTAATGCTTATTATTATATGACATGGCAAGTAATACTATCTATAGTCGCGAAAAACAAAAGAGGATGAATCTTGGCAAATTAATAACTCCTCATATCAAGCTGGATCGCAATCCCTGAACAGATCGAAATTGAGTCACTTATAAAGTTACGTTCAGATAATATAATTTGCAGGCATCTTAACTTGTACACACATAGTGTTTGAATCTAATGTTGTGAAATTACAATACTGAATAACAATTCCTGCCTCAACTTACAACAATACAAGTTACAATCATGTTCATTGTTCATCGCCAGCTCAACTAACTCATTGAAGTTCCACACACACAAGGGGCTATAACTCTATTAAACTACCACAGACTATAATAACTACCACGCACTAAAACATTCTGAAAGGTTTGCAATGTATACTAATAAACTACCTAATGCGGTGTGGAAAGTGTTGTCAATGATGCTTACTAAATTCAATTGGTAAAGTTGGCGCGTTAATGGTGACCAGGTGCAGGATTCTACGTACTAGTGTCTAGTACTATCTAAAGAGTGCAGAGGACAGCATTGGGGGGGGGGGGGGGGGGGGGGGGGGGTTGGCCACTATTTTTGTCCCGACACTAGCCAGTTTTCCCAAACGGGACAAAAATTACGGGACAAAAAAGGACAACAAACATATTGGCCACCCCCCCCCCCCCCTTCCCCCTTGCCGCCAAAGCTTTGTGACTCAAAAGGAGTCCTCAGTGCCGTTTTGGACGGGCACGTTTTAGACAATCCTGAGGAACTTTAGATTTCTTCAATTTCGATGACAACTGAAAGCAGATCAAATCTAAAAGACTATTTCAAAAATTCCGTAGAGGATAGACCGCACTATCAAAGATTTGATTTCTTCGGAACCCATTAGAAAGGCCCAGGGACAAAAGGATTTCGCGATTATTTTGGCCAAAAATCGCGGTACCGCGAAATTTAACAGGCTATACATTAAACTATTATTATTATATAACTTTATTCAAATCAAAAATAGAACATAAATGAACATCTTAAAGATCTGATAAGTAGCCAGAAAAAAAGAAATACTGATACACAAGCTATAACAACTTCTTCCATCCCGCTCTATCAGAGGCTAAAAGTCTTAAATTGTACAAATCGTCTGTATTTACAAATGGAATGTTCCTACTACCTAAATCAAATTTAATAGTCTTAAGCAAGTTCGACTGGTGTCTGCCTACTCTACCCTTTTTGGTACTCTGACTCTCTACTGCAAAGTGTAATGCAAGCTGTGCAGGTGAGTTGTTATCACTGCGAAGGACATGTCCGAGCATCCTCCATCGTGCACATGCAACACGCTCACTGAGTGGAACCACTTCACATCTCTTGTAAAGGGAGTCGTTTTTGATTATATTAGGGTAAGTCATTCTGATGATTTGCCTCAGATGCTTTCTGTGGCAAATATCCAGTTTACTCAGTAGCTGCTTTGAAGCAGCCCAGCAGCTACAATTATACATTAAGACGGAGACCACCTGGGCTTCGTAGATCTTAAGTCTGGTCTTAAGAGGTATGCGTTTACCTTGTTCCCAAACTTTCTTGTAGGTTTGGAAAGCAAGATTTGCCAGAATACATCGTCTTTTTATGTCCTCGTTGCTGCACAATTTGGAACCAAGTGAGATAGATGATCTCCAGGGCTCTCTTCCTCGAAGTGGCTCTCCTTTGTCATCAACTTCGTTCTTCTCGGCCAGATAGATATGTGTGAACTCTGTTTTTGATTCGTTGACAAAAAGATTCCACTCCTCCAATATCTCCTTGCATATTGGTAACATGGACTCCAAATTCTTTTTATCCTCGTCTGTGAAGTCTGCGTCGTCTGCGTACTCCCACTCAAGAGGTAGCAGGTTTTCAGCAAACGGAGGGTTGGGTCTTAGATAAGACATAAAGGCACGAAGGTGATAAAGTGCGCCAGCCAAATACATTAAACTATACATACAATTTGTCGCGGAGAATGGGAAATTTCGCGATTTCGTACATGCCGCGAAATCCTTTTGTCCCTGGAAAGGCCACCTGAAAGCAGTTCAGATTCCAATCTCCAGTTGACATATTTCATGGCGCAATGATCGATACAAATGTAATGCAAAAATGGAAGATTTTTCGGAGCGGGGTTGTAAGAGAGTAAGAGAAGAATAATTAAAATTGATACGGAATACGTGTTATTGAAAGGGTTATTAGTTGGAATTTCCCCAGGCAGGTACCCAAGAATTCAAGCACACTCATATATAAGTCTAGACTATAGAGCATTATTTGTAACCGAGAATATAAGCTGGTGTGGCGTATCTACTGTCTAGCCACACCAGCTTATATGTAGAGTGTAGACTATTGAGTGTGCTTCCCAAAATTCACCTTAACGAAATAGAATTAACAAAATAGGAACACTGAAACATAATGTCAATGATAAGGGAATTCTTGGATATCGCTGGTGCCCTGACATGATACAGTACGATATTTCATGCCATTTTCATGGGCAAATTGTTCGAGAAACTGACAAGTTTTGCGTCGAGATGGTAACGAGTTTACTTACTATTTACTTGTGGTAGTTTAATGAAAATAAGCGGGAATATAAACACACGTCACACACGTGACACGTGACACAGGTTTGTTGAAAATTAGGAGGACATTTAAAACGTTAGCTGAGCTGACGTGTTCAGACTTCAGAAAGTGCCCAATGAACTTGTCTTCAATACTCAATAGGTGTCATATGTGGTTAATGTCAACAATAAACGTCAGTCTGGTCATACATATCCACATTCCACATGGCATGGGTGTCACATAAAGTTGCACTAACATCGATCTGGGCATACACTGTGTGACCAGAGCAAGAAAACATTTACCTTTGATATGCTTTCTAATCTGAACCAGTTGTGCTGTATCTGGTAGATATAAAATAATTTATTTCCGAGATCGTACAGATATCTTCCAGGCTCCAATATAATCACAATTTTTCGCTACTAAAATACATGGAACATGACAAACTGACCAACCTTTCTGCAAAACGATAATTTTGTTTCGTTTATCACAACAAATTTGTTTAACGATACTCTCTCATTAGTCTCCGAGAGTGAAGAGGAAGCAGATATATATATGTGAATGGCATGTAATCATCTATATAATCATAAAAACGATCTCAGATCGTAACGCAACGTAACCTAATACAGTAAAACCCCCATTTACCGCGGACTTTGTCCTTGGGGAAAAGGAAAACCCCGCTGTAAATCGGCGTTTTGGTTTTTACTGAATTTTTCAGAAATGGGTGGATAACAATCGGAGAAACAACAACACTGTTCGACATCTTTATCAAATTGAATATATTTAGTTACCCAGCTTGTATCAAATTTCGTATTTCAAGATAATGGTATCTAAAGGAATTACCCGGGCCGCAGTGAATCGGGGTTAGCGCTAAATGAAAATCGGGGCGCGATAAATCGACGTTTTACTGTAATAGTATTACTAATACATTGGTATTTCATGCTCCTACAGCAATGCCTCGATTTTAAATATGGTGAAAAATGTGAATAATCCTTACTGAAAAGTTTTAATTTTCATTGATTTAATCAACTGGTATGTTTTGAAACTTTACTAGAATAATTTCCCATCAACGATCTGAACCCCTCCTTAAAACCAGTGCAATGGCCGTTGATCATTGGTTTCATGACACATGCTGTCTGGTGCCTCAAGACCCTAAAGGAACGGTTGTAGAATGTAGATATCCGCTTAGAGTATGAACGGGTAACCGGTTATCACTTATCAGCTTAGCTTATTGTTCAATGATCGACTACAGTATTATTGTATCGACGTTTCAGAATTACTGGTCTTAACCTGACTTACATTTCTCCTTTCTGCCGGAAAAATCAAATGTTTTAAAATTGGTAAAGATCAAATTGGCATTATTTACTATTATCGATAAAATTGTTTAAAATCATCGAATTTCCATATAAAAATGATTAAAAAAGCTAAGAATTCCAGTCAGATTGTTAGTAGTCCCTGAAAGCTAAAAAACGTTAAATGCTGACTAGAGGATTCCCCTCGTTGTTGTGTAAGCTAGAATGGGCTGATGGAAGTCTCACTAACTGAATTTCACTGGTTTCCTCGTTCACTGAAACTTCATCTGTAGACCGAGCCTCCTTCATGGAGATCCTGTAACTGTCGTCTGGTGTTTTGACGACATGTATGATAGGAAGAGGGGCAGGATGGGGGTAGAACTTCTTCAAGTCCCTCATGTTAAAGAGAAAGGCTAGTGGTAAGATCAGTAGAAATTCCAAACATTCCGTTGATAAAACACCAGTCAACCCTGGAACAGGATAATTGTCTGCTCGATAAAACTCAAACACAAGGATATACACCAGATAACCGATTATTTCTCCAAAAGCGACGCCGACGAGGATTTCTTTTCTGCAGATTTGGCTCCTGGCGTAGGTGTGTCTGTGTCTGTCTCTCAAGGAGTAAAATTCATACCGGATCAGCAGGAGACGTCTGAAGTGGCTTGCCCAAAACAAGGATAAAATGGCAGCAAAAGCTGCTGATATGACAACGATAAGAGGAACTTCAATGTAACTATCATCCAGTACGAATAAGTAGAAATACAAGGTGTACAATATCCCCCCTAAAATTGCTTGACATTTACTATCGAAAGCGGTTTTAGTGTTGTATATACAGTATCCGCTGGAAACTGCCAGTAAAGTGAGGTGATAAGCGGTAAACTTTCCCGCTTGTGTCATCGCCATTATGAAGGTTTGGTCCATGTAACCATCGTATAAATTTTCCGCTGTTAGAATCGTCTGGTAGAAGAGAAAAGTACTGAGAACTTGACAAAACTTTAAGAAGACAAGTGCGTAAATATAGAAACTGCAGTCCACCTTGTACTTCCAGAATCGTATTATTTCGCATATTGATTTTAGTACCAGAGCACCATATATCACAGATAAGGTACCATAGACTAAGGGATTCCACATTTCATCCAGTGAAAGTCTGCTGTCTTGATTTAGAAAAACTCCTTTGTATTCGCAACGGTAACGTTTATGTACGTAAGACGTACCAATCTGAAAATTAGGTTTCCTTTCGTAATCAAAAACGTGGTACACAGGACACACCCTGATTCTGGCCACTAAGTTTTGACCTTGTTCAATAGTTTTATTGTAAGTCCAGGTGTTGGCGCCCACTTGGGTCATACTATCTACAATACAATGGTGATAAGGATGGACGTCAACAAAACACATCCCCCAGTCTGGGTACAAATATAGCCATCTAGTTTTAGGTGTTTCGTTGCACAGGAAAATATTGAAGGTAGTGCTGTTTCCCCAGATTTGTTTGGTGGGTTCGCTGCAGGCTAGGCTCACGCTTATACTTCCGTTAGATCCAAACTCAAAACTTCTCTCCTGCACTTCGATAAGTTTTCCACTCGTATTTTCATTGTAAACGTTAAAGTTAAACCATCTTTGGAATGTTCTCGCATTGATAACATCAAGTAACCATATCACTAGAAATGTTCTCAGCCATGACATAACCTACAAATACAATATCTTGAATGAAGTTGCAAATAAACATAAATACAATATGATGATCCTTCAACTATGCAAATGCTAATCTTATTAATTTTCAGGTAAAACATCTTGGAAGCTCTCTGAAGAAGCACATGGACCACTCCGAGCCCACTGAATTGTAGACCCATCAGAAAAATTGACAATTCAAAGTTTGTACCAGTAGAGAACATTACAAAATCTTGCGTGGAAATACGTGTCCGTGTGTCAACAAATCTATTTTGATTGTCAATAGTATAAACATTTTCAATTGTATTTCAAACTATTATTAATGTAGCAAGTAGCGCTTGAATTTTGTAGAGCTGACAAATTGATATTATGCATGTGTTTATTTCTTGAAGTTTTTGCCTAAAAATAAAATCATCGATGCAAAATATATAATAAAAGAAGAGTTTTTAAAGATTCTGCATATATGAAGTATGAATGAATACCCACCATATATATTATATGAGGAGTTTACTTTCTTTGAAATTTTATTTTTCGTACAAAATGATTCTTTAGAAATGTAAATTCTGTACTTAGTCCAAATAGCAGGTTAAAATATTTTTTGCACAGTTTAGTTCCTCGTTAGCATTACTTTGTGACATCTAATTATTAGAACAGTTGATTGTTTGTTCCACAATTATGAAATTAATTTTTCAAAATTTTCACCTATTCTTAGAGTCGCTCGATTCATTTGTCCCTAAAACCTAATTGTCAAAAGTTTAAAATCTGTCATAATTTATTGCTTCCATCCTCTTGGTCTCAATCTTCTAGCTAACTATTTCCTTCATAACTTTCATAATCGACTGGACTGTTTTCTCGACGTCACTGTCGTTTCCAACGAGAGGGTTAAACTCCACAATATCCATTGACACGAGGTTACCCACTTCCTTTATTCGTTTGATTAGCTTGACCACGTGAGAAATGCTGATGCCGTCTGGGGCTATAGTGCCGGTACTGGGGCACTCTTTGGGGTCCACCGCGTCTATATCGAATGAAATATGAACTGGGTATTTTAGCAGCTGTTTCTCCTCGATCAACTCGCTGATTACCTCGCTTGAACCTGCAGGTTGGATTGTGAGCATTCTTAACTGTGAGCTTATCTCTAGTAAAACCAATTTATTTTACTCACAATTTTTGACACACAATATACATATACAACTACAAGTTAGTAGAAGTAACAGTTTACTAGCAAGAACAGAAATGACCTCGGAAATGAGAGAATCTCTCGCTTCACCTACCCCTTCTTATAATCTCCTCTTTAGTATAGTTCTTGACCTTGTGCTCTTTTAGAATCTTAATCTCCGCGACATCGACGTCGCGAACTCCTATGTACGCGATGTTATCCAAACTTATCTGAGCACTATTTTTATGCACATCGGATAAGTCACTAATATAGTAAACTGGCATTCCGTGGAAGTGTCCTGTAATGGTTATGATCGAATTCGGGGTGACAATGACTGTTCACGATAACAGACTGGATATTCGGTCAGTTCCTTAACTGATATCTTAATCGCAGTGAAAACGAATGAAATTTGAATTAAGAAAGTCGAATTGGTATCAATCTAGAGGGTAAAAATGAAAATATTGATTATGGATTACGAATACGCAATCAAAAACCAAACCCTCCTCCCCGTAATCAACCGTCAAAATTTGAAAACCCCCTCTCCCTCGTCTGGTTACATAATATAGTATACCACCCCATATACTGCTAGCGCGATCGATTAAATCGAGTAAATTCCTTATCTAACCTATTCCTACCTGTTTCAGTCGTCGCCGGAGAGTTTATGTCAGCATGTGCATCAATCCAAATGACTCTCAAATCGGGATATATGTGATACATTTTCTGAACCGTAGCCATTGAAATAGAATGATCGCCACCAAAGTTAAGCACAGTATCTCCTGTCTTCAGATCTGATAAATTGGTTGATAATTTCGCGCACAGTTTGTTCATGTGAGAAGTGTATTCTTCCTCTGAAGTGCCATTCATATCGTTCAGAGATTCATCTTTGTAATGTTTGGTAACAATGTTGTTGGAATCAGACGCTGCTTCATGAGCCATGGCATTTAAAATAGCTGAACTGTAGCGTACACCTTGCTTCTTTTGTCCTTTCCATAAGGGCAAGAGATTTATATAAATTGTCTTCTTATCGGAGGGCAGAATTTCATCATCACCATTTCCGAAACTTTTAACCGAACTATGTTTCTTTTTCGATCTACAGCCGCCTGTGTGATGAAAATATATGAACAGAATAAATTTTATTGAAGATTCAAGGTCTAAGCCTCACCAAAATTGCGAGCGTGCTAAATCACTCTACACTCGATCTTCTAAATTTTTCTAAAAGAGCCCCCGACAGTTGAAACCTACTTTAACTTAGACCCCTGGACCCGGGTTCCGGTTAGGTGTATGTCCTACTTTTACTTTTGCATTTTGATAAGTTTAGTCGGACTATATTAAAACAGGAACCATGACTAGATCCTGATCGATGTGACGTCCTTAACTTCAAGGGGGCCGGGGGATATTGTTCCTAGCCGAAATTATCGCCGGTCAAAGGTCAGCGCTTTAATAAGTAATTGTATTGCGCGAGTGATTTAATTTCAGATTTTCAATTAAATTGTGCGTCCTGAAAATTGAAAATCTAGTCTAAAAATTTATATCTTCCCTTGCATTTTTTGAGCAATCACCCTCAAACTTTTACGATATGTTCTTATGATCAGTTAGAAGAAAACTCTAGAGCCAGAATTTTGAGATTTTGAAAATCTTGGACCTCAAAAAATCGACAAAAAAGGAGGTCCCAAATTTTCAAAGGGTGATACTGATTTGTGATTGCTCAAAAAAATAATTTTTAGGAGAAAATAAATTTTTGAGAAGCGTGATTGAAAATCGCTCGCGCAATACACAATACGAATACAATTACGGTTACGCATAAGCGCTGACCTTTGACCAGCGATAATATAATTTCGGCAAGGAACAATATTTTTCCATGGGACCAAGAGCAGGTAGATTTTACTACCCTCTATCAGAAACAACTATAAAGTCAATTTCGAAAGGATTTTGATGAAGACCCCCCAGCCCCCTTAAGGCAAAGCCCATGCCAAGTTGGAATTGAGTTACTTAATATCTTTACAAATGAATATGCCAAATGTTATCATATTAGCGAACTTTCCTATAAAAACATCTGACTGAGAGAGATCCGGTTTATACAACTTGCATTGGAGGTAAAACCTTTACTTTTACTACAATTTAAATAGTCTAATTATGTATTAACAAATAAATGCCAGGCTTAATCCATATATAGATACATGTTTTAGCTTAAAAGGACGTACTCAGTCAAAGTTGTAACGCCCTGCGCTATGTAAAATCCGGATTGGAATATTATTCATGAGTCGCATAGTTGAAATTTTTCTTGGGTAAATTGCCCTGCACTATGTAATGAGCAAAATATCTAATGTGTTCGTACTTACATAGTAAAAAGTCCATGCCAAGATCAGAACAATTCGTTTAGTAAAAGTCGAACACTGGCATACACATGGCAATCAAAACTTCGTAAACCTCAGCTCGGAAACGATACCGGTAATATAAAGTTACAAGATGTAATATCGTTCTGTGATTTGAAACTAACCGAGGAAGCTACATGACCGCGAAGTAATTAGATATCAAACGTGCAAGCAGCTTTTAGCTTATGAAATACTACGCTCCTTCATCAATTAAGCAAGTCCACTGAAGTTTCCTAAATAACATTCGTGAGACTTTCTTCAACTTGACCTTTGTTCCATAAATGCACCATTCCATTCAATCAGCTTAAACTTATTTAATTGAGTTCACAAATTTCGTCCATCTGCTTTCTAAAAACTAATAAACTGTCAGGAATCGATGTTACGTTATTGCGAAATGCATGCACCCTGCACTGTTCATAATACATTATGGAACGATTGACTGATACAGTTCCCCTCCACATTTAACTGCTGTTGACAAACAAAACAGCTGAGTGGTCAAAGGTTTTGAATGATTTTTCTAGCAGCTTGTTGATTGCGACTACAGCTGTTTAAACGATCAAAGACGGTGATTATGTTGTAACTCGATCGAATCGACAAAATGCGCTACAAAATTTCACGTTCGCGCAAAAAAACAGATGCTTTTTATGTAAAAAGATCAAAGCGCGTTCCACAACCGTACTGGATTCGTTCGATTAAGTTCCACAGATTGACCCACACGAATGAAGATCTACATTTTACATCGATACGCGCCTTTCAAGAAATAAATGATACAAATCATATAACAGGGTAAAGAAAAGCAGGAACCAACACAATCGTTAAAAATAAATCAACTCCATTCAAATAGTCATCTTTTGCCCACCCTTGATTGTGCCCCAACCAATAAGACGCCAATGTTTGTTAATTTTCCTACTGATAGCTATCTTTTCCCCGACATCTGTACAAACTGCGCTGGTTAGAATCACCTTGGCTCGTTTGTCTACGGCTCCATGTTTGTTCTTTGTTTCTCTGATAGCTGAGACACGGCCACCCGCTGATAAAGATCCTATGTTGACGAGTAATACTTCATTCTTCGACAGATTATCAACTTTAGCTCCTTTTGATTTTCCTTCTGTTCTGACTCCCAGTAACCTTCTCATCAGATGATACTGGATTTCAATGAGTGTGTATATAGGAGGTAAAGATCCCTCTGAACCAATTACCTGAAAATAAAATAATTGTGATCTTGTGTCTTTTCAAACTCATTTCAACAAAGTTTAATTTATAAAAAAAAGTAAACCTAGTGTGCAGTTTAAACAAAGCTTCTCAAGAATAAATAAAACTTACATGTCCGACCAATCTGTCACCAATACACAGGGTTGGGTCAATTTTAGTTCCAACACCAATCAAACCGCCAGGAACAGCAAACTGGAGATCGTTGTTCTCAGCAAACATGGTCAGGACACGTGACCTTATAGGAACACAATGTAGGTTACCCTCCGCGTCTTTGGTTGTGATACCCGGTCTCACCTGTAATCATGTTGCATAAGTAAACAAACAGGAGCTAACATTATATAATATAAAATGTCAGACAGTTCCCAAGCAGGGATATAATGAACATTAGGACCAAAGATAAAAGCAGAGGACAAGATAACAAAAGAAGAGATATCAGCGGGCAATATCTTAGCTGTTTTTGAAATTGGGGCTTGAGGGTTGGGGACCAAAAGTGTACCTCTATTTCCTGGCCAACTTTGAGCACACCCTTGAGTAATGAACCACCGGCCACACCACCCTTCAGACTTTCAACCTCACTTCCTGGCTTGTTCACATCAAATGATCTGATTACGATGAGTCTGAAATGCGGTAAGAAATTAAAGCTTATATAATACATTGATTTTATTGACGACAACTGTAATTTTTTACTGACATAAAATATTAAAATTTTATCATATAAACAGTGATAACCAACTACATATTGTAGGATCTGATAAAAATGAAGTTTCCAACCGTAAAGAAGACTAATAATACATGTTTCCAACATATTTATGTAAAAACAAACATATACAGTCACCTTGGTTCAGAAGTAAAGTCTCTCAAGGGGATAGGAATTTTCTTAACCACATATTCTGAGATAACTTCGATGTTATACTTCAGTTGAGCGGATATGGGTATGATAGGGGCGTTTTCTGCCATGGTACCTTTTACAAAATCCACGATATCTCTGTGTTGTTCAATTGCCTGAGTAAATATTTGAATTAGCCAGGCCATGATGAGAAGAAAGTTTCTAAAAGTAAACAGAAACCGGGTTAGTATATATAGTTTGAAAAAAATATTCAAACGTTAATCATCATTAACCGAAAAAATATTCAGAGAGAGAGACTGAATATAAAATCTGAACGCTTTTGGTCTCCAAGAAACAGTTACGGTGCAAATATGGCTCATTTTAAAAATTGAGTTGAATTATACTTTATAGCCTGGGGATGAGAGAGTGTAGCAGAGGGGTCACGTGACTATTACCAAACTACCAGATTACTTTGCCAGAATTTAAGCGGATCTATAATATTTGCAGAGAACACAATATTTTCCTCACAAATTAACCATCCAATCTTGGTTTGAGCAGTAGCTTTTGGTAATCTGGTGTAGCACATCTGAGTATTTCACAACTTTCCCACAAACAGGAAATACCAAACCCCCTTTTTCTACAATCTACTCGCTTACTTTGTATCGTTTTGGCTAATCAATCACATTTAGCAAACACTAATCATTCAACGTCTTTAATCAAGAGCCTGTAGCGTTTTATCACAGACTGAATCACTTGAAACAAGTTGACTGCTTCATGATCACTTCAAACAACATCAGTATCTTTGGAATACACAGCGATGCAGAGAGATACAGCTGGGCTGCGTACTGTCTGTTTGGACTTCTGTCATCCCTCATTGGAGACACCCTCATCCTCTACGCATCTTCCCAGAACGTTTTCAAACTTAATAAGTTCATAGTCACAGTCATCCAGCACATCGCAGTATGTGACCTTGTGTTTGCAGTGACGGCAGTGTTTCCTACAGCTACCTCCTTGATCGCGAATTCCTGGGTACTAGGGGATGCTCTGTGTTATGGTAAGGTCTATATTTGCCACTACGCTTACACAGTAGGGATGGCTCTTATTGCCGTTCTGACAACCACCAAACTCCTGCTTCTTCAATATCCAGTTCGGTGTGCACAGTGGGCCAAGAAACTGGGACACAGAACATGCAGCCTCATTTATATAATACCTCTCATTATTCCGGCAGCCGCTCTTATTGTGGATAAAAATGACATCGCATTTGATTATACAACCTATAACTGCGAGTACAGGTGCAAAGCAGATGTGTGGCTGAAGATAAAACCAATAATTGCTGTGATCACTATGTTTCTTCCAAATATTGTTATTCTTGCTACAACAATCCCCACTCTGAAGTACCTAGCAACCGCCTGGAAGTCTGCAAGACGTGTCCGGGCAAGTTTCCCTCTACAAGGAACTTTAACTGTAGCGCTAACTGCTACTATCTACTGCATCACGACTATACCAATGTTTGTTTTCTACATTAGCGAAGACTTCATCAAAGAAGATCCTCCAACCCTGTTCCAAGTCCGATTTAACAGAATAGCAAATTTCATGTGTGGAATAAACATAATGTCTAATTTTTACATCTACACTCTGACGATCAAGAGTTTCAGAGATTTCCTTTTTTCAAGGATTTCCTCTATCCTATCAGCTTGTCTGCGAACCATTACAACTTCAGGTACAACTTATATCAAACAGCTATCGCATACAAATAAACACAAAACAAATCACGTATTAGTACACTACATGCAATGTTTGCCTCAAGCATAACTTAACATGAATTATCACAAATAATACACAGAGAAATATATTTTAGATGAAGGCGAGCAAGATAGAAGAGAAGCAGATAGGAGCAACACACAGATAAACGAAACATCTGTTTGAATGGACACGATAAACTCAGAGTATCATGATCATGTAATTTGTGATTAACTTGGAGTTAATCAAGATTGGTAAATTGGACTGCCATATCATGAGTGATGTAGGTGTGCATTATATAATATACTGACTCATATAATACAGTAGTTCATACTTTTTAGATAATGGACGATGACCGAGTTAGCAGAACGAAATTAATTTTGTTACTAACAATGTTTTTTCTAGAATATCTTGATAATTCGTATCCACTTTTCTTATATATTTGTTTTCACACGATTTGTATTTTTTGGTATACGTAACAGTAAATTAACCAGCCTATGATTACGAGGCACAAGTGTTAGAATTTTAAATAACTAAATATATAATAAATAAATTGTAGATAACTTTTATTAGTCTGCAATGCGCAGAGTTAGAATGGAATGAGGGAAAGGGGAGTAATTTAAGAGTGTAAAACTGGTTATAATATGGAAAATGGATTTACCTGCTGTTCCTTGATGAGATCTATTTTATTTTGTAAAATAATGATATGTTTGAGGTCCATGACATCAATAGCTGCCATATGCTCAGACGTCTGTGGCTGAGGACATGTCTCGTTTCCTGCCAGACATAATGTTAGTTATACAAAAAAAGCAAAAATTTAAATACCGAGAAATTAACTAAATGTATGCAGCGAAATTACCTGCAGAGTTTTAATAGTAAGTTCAAGACTCCAGCTAGGTCTCAACTATTATAAAAGCTAGCTGGTACCTACCAGCAATAAGAAGCAAAGCAGCGTCCATGATAGCTGCACCGTTCAACATGGTTGCCATAAGAATGTCGTGACCAGGACAATCCACGAAACTGACGTGTCGCAACAGCCTGAACTTGCCCTTGCAGCCCAGCCGATCACAGGGGAACACATCTTCTTTTATGCTGGATGCGGACCTGTAACAGGTGGGACGAGGACACTGGGTACTGTCACACTTGTAGATCTTAGCATTAGCATACCTGAGACAGATTAAAGGTAGAACATAGATTTTTGGTTTTAATAACCAGGCGGTTTCTTCAGATATTAGCTGAAGTGTCGGTGTCATATTTCACAATTTAATATTATGTTCAAATGTAAGGGAGTCTAAATAATTCCACTATTATATTACAAAATTACAGATATTTTACATTATGATGGGTAAATTCTAAATGATAAAATTTAGTAATCTAATATGAACAAAATTTAAATTAATAATTCATAACTGTATTAATCTTCTTATGATCGGAATTGTTAGTCGTTTTACAGATTACTATCAGTAATAAAATGATATGTTGTGAAACTTTCAGATGATTATGTATTAGATGTATTATCTCACCCTAGCTTAATAGTGATATTCTTCTGCAGCTCGTTCTTGAATCTTACAGTTTGTACACCACTTATAGCTTTGACCACAGTAGATTTACCGTGAGCTACATGACCAATAGTTCCGATGTTTATTGTAGCCTGTCGACTGATGACCTGAATAGAGATAAAGATTCTTAAATACTTTAACAATTGAAATATTTAGTAAAATGATGACAAAATATGCAAAACATGCAGTGGTGACTATTGTTACTGGGACTGAAGATCAAACCAAAGAGGAGAACTAAAATATAGCTACCTCAGGAGTTAATGGCGTAAGCTTTGATACATCAAGAGTTGCAAGGTCCTGCTTTGCCAAGTGAGACTGAGTTGCCGCCCCACTGTGCATCCCTACGCTATTGACAGATAATGTTAAATTTGGTGGAATGAAGAAAGAAAATGACTTACACGCCATATCATACTTTATTTAATTCGATTCAAAAAATTATGGTGGCTTGCAGGAGGGGGAGGCAGTCTAAAAGGGCCAAGATATCAGCAATCCATTTGTTGCTACAGCGTGATAATAATTTAAAAAGTATCCATGGAGCAGTCTAGACTGATCTCTATGCTCTACATTTCTTCTATTGACCATTACAAATTGTGTTTTCGTAGGTGAGAGTTGTTAAGTCTTACCAAGCGTAATGTGTACTTTACTCATTATCTTGAGTATACAATATAGTTATGTTTTTTACTTAGTTAACAAACAAGGTGAGACTAAATGCTGCAAAATCTTCATTCATTGTATTTGAATGATATCCTAATCTGGACACGTTGTCAATCCCTCTGGATTTGGAAAAAGAATGCATTTTTATAGAAGAAACTAAATCTCAAAAATATTTAGGTCTCATGATAGACAATTTATTGAACTTTCAAGACCATATTGATTATGTGAAATCAAAAATTGCTAAAAGAATAGGGGCATTATACAGGTCGAAAAATATTCTTCCACTGAAATATAGAAAAATGTTGTAAATGCTCTAATGCTCCCCCAATTTGACTACCTGGATATAATATGGTGTACTTTATTAACTCCTCCGCAACCAATTTGTTTGTATATAAAACCTCGAATATGTGGAATAAATTCCTTAAACCTTCTAGTAAGATTGACTTCTCGTCCCCAATTGCACTTGTTAAAGGTCGCATCAAAAATATGCTACTCAATGCTCAAAAAGCTGGAAACACTGATGAATGGTCAGAACTCAACTTTGATGGAAATGACATGTGCCTATAAGAACTGATATTACATAAATATGAACACACAAACTAGAACACACAAACTAGTCCATATAGATTTCATACTACACACACAAAATAACACACACAATACACACCACAGTCAAACATAGAAACTATATATTTACGCATATAACACAGAACACTGATCAGCTCATCCACTTTACACTAGTGTCTGGACTTGTCTGGAGTGTGTGTCTGGAACGTGGGACGGACCCACAAATATTTTGTGTAAACGTAGCGCGCGAAACTTAAACTACGTAAAACTTTATCATTTCATTATCCAGCGTGATTTACTGCGCCAAAATAATGAAATGACGCCGCGCTACATCCGAGAATCACTCATTTATATTTTATATTTTGTATCTCTTGCGTCATACGTGTTATGTAATGTGTATCACACTCCCGGCTTTGGACCCCAATGTTAACCTTGCAGCAGCTGTGTCAGCCCAATATACTTTACAAGTATGATCACACTTATTTTAATGAACAAGAAACCCATAATTAATACAATCAGATACTCGTCAACTCAGCAGCAGCTTCCGTCCGTATGATGTGTAATGTCCTTCTCCTTTCTGTGTCCCTGTCGTTTTGTTTAGTGAAATGTAGTAGTGTTTTATTATTCTAATATTTCAATCGAACGTAACTCAATAGTTAATAATATTGATGATGATGAAAATCTTTTAAAATTAACTGGCTACAATGAGCATTTTAATTATAACAATAAATAGTAGAGATCAAAAACTTTAATTTCCAATAGAGAAATTTATAGAAACACACCTAACAAATTTTACCCTGCTAACAGCTATTAAAAAACATTAATAGTTTCGTATAAAAATTATGATCTAAACAATTACTACCCTTCAACAATTTAAAAAAAAATTTATGTAACAAAATATTTGACTTTACCAGTCTCTTGACGTTTCAAAATGAAACTGAGGTTGAAGATGTAGTTACAAAAGGCCACTGGTTCTTAATGGTTACTGAAACAAACTTTATCCAAAATAAAAGTTTTAAAGCAGTCCATATCTGCTTTCCTGTGAACTGAATAGCTCAAATGGAAAATCTCATTCCCTTGTTATTACAACAATATTTAGGTGATTGTTTTCAAATAAACATAGTCCAATAACACTATACTACACTTCAATATGCTTGGTATTTAATCCTTATTGGTATTTAATCCTTATTTATGTTAATAATAACAAACACAAATACTATTTTAAATAATTGATTAATATCGATTACCAACATTAGTTATTCTCTAATAACCTTCTTATATATATATAATCACTAAGAGTTGGAAAGTTTCCATCTGCCCTAAAAGAAGCATCTATAAGGCCTGGACTCAAGAAACCTACCTTAGATGTTGATGAGCTGAAAAACTATCGACCGATTAGCAATCTAACCTATCTGTTCAAAATATTAGAAAAAGTAGTTCATTGCCAATTAAATGAATAAGCTGATGTCAACAACCTATTTTCCCCATATCAATCAGGCTATAGAAAATTCCATAGTTGTGAAACTGCAGTTACAAAGATACATAATGATATTCTAATGATGATTGATAGCAAATCGAATGTTGTGCTTCTACTCTTAGATCTATCGGCTGCTTTCGACACCATAAACCATAATCTCCTTCTTACGAAACTCAAGAATGCGTATGGTATTACAGAACTAGCACTCAGCTGGTTACAGTGTTACCTTAATAATCGCACATTCAAGGTTAAAGTTAAAAAAGCCACATCTTCTGAATGCTATCTGGATATTGGTGTACCTCAAGGATCCATTTTAGGACCACTACTGTTCATATTGTATACCAGAGATCTTGAGGAAATTGTCACAAAATATGGTTTCTCGATACATTTGTATGCAGATGACACACAGGTGTACTTTGCTTTCGATGTTCACAGTTCTAATCCTGATTTAACAGCTGTGAAAAATTGCTTTCTGGAGATAAAGCAATGGATGACAGTTAACTTCCTAAAACTGAATGATGAAAAACAGAGTTCATTGATATAGGACCATATGTCAGCCCAATCCAGACAATGGATTTAGGAGACCTCTCAATCTGTCCTGTTAGCAAGGCCAAGAACCTGGGATTCTTTTTCGATCACCAAATGAATCTGGACTCTCAAATAAATGCTGTGTCCAAAGTATGTTATTTGAATCAAAGGGACTTATCAAGAATCGGTTCAAAGCTTTCCCATAAACTAAAAGTTCAGTTAGTTCACTCCAATATTCTCTGTTTCATAGACTACTGCAACTCAGTCTATTATGGTATAACAGAAAAGAATCTCCATAAGCTACAAAAGATACAGAACAATGCTGCTAGATTTATTTTTGGTCTTTACGGAAAAAATATACGTGAACCTATCATGCCTTACCTCAAAAAGCTCCACTTTTTACCTGTTCGGTTCAGAATCAAGTTCAAAATATCACTTCTGGTCTTCAAGTGTCTTAATAACATAGCCCCTCAGTACTTACAAGGACACATCAATCTAAGGGAAGTACGAAGACAAAGTTCCAGACTAGATGATGACTTTTATTTGTTGAAAGTTCCTCCTGCTCCTCATTTCAGACGAACGGATGCTGCATTTATGTTTTGTGGACCAAAAATTTGGAATGAACTACCCTACTCAGTGAGATCATTATCATCTGTAGAATGTTTTAAAAATGCTCTAAAGACGTTTTATTTACACCTAGCTTTTGATAATATTTCTAATATTTGTCCATAAAGTCTGAACTGATATGAAAGTGCATAATTTTGGGAACTTCATGCAAATATTTGTTCATAAAATCTGAACTGATAAAAGTCCATAATCTTGGTATTTCAACACTAAGTCTCGCTTGAATGACTTAAATGTACATCTTTGTTGGGTATATTTTAATGTCGAAGCGTGTAATAAATGTTAGAATTTATTTATTTATTTATATGTGTTAAACGATCCATGGCCTATCTAAAATTCGATAATGAACTTCATTTTATTAGTGCCGCGTGCTGATAAATATTCTGTGAATCAATCCACATCAAGCCGGTTTTAGGTTTGAGTTTGTGCTCCAAAAGTGGTAAATCGGGTGCTAGTAAAGCTCTTGCAGGCAACTGGCTCCTTTTGCCAACTGCTTTTGGTTTAAGCGCTGACTCACATTTGGAACTGGCACGGGTATAATTGTAATATCCTACGAAGTCAGCATGCTATATTATCTCGCAAAACTCGTTTATTATCTTGACAATATTTAAAGTTTATGGTTTTAGGTTTAAGCGGGCGCACCGCTTATATGTTATAGCTTCTTCATTTTCTGTTTTCAGCGCTGTGTTGCTACACGCTGTATAGCATGTGGGTTGAAAGCGCGGTGCCGCGCCTAAGCAGCAAAAGAGTTATCTATTTTAAAATTTATTTTTGTATCTTAAAAATGATGTAAAATTTTTAATATGACGTAGAATTAAAGCTATTTCCGTACAGCCTAAGTATGCTCGTTAGAAAAATATGAACATGCTAGCTTTCTTTATTTTTGTTAGCCGGCTGACATCTTGGGTTGTACTGGATGTAACAAGTTTATTATCGGATGCCTACTTATATTTATTATGATATAATTATTCATTGTAATGGCAATAAAATTTAAATTTTGTTGTACTTAAATTTTGTTTTACTTATAAACTTATCTGTGTGACTGCATTAAAATAATTTAAGGTGAGTTCTCTTAAAACTTTAAGACAATAGGAATGAATACTAGGGCCTAATAAAATCAAAACAAAATGCAGCCATCTAATTTGTTGTTTTAAGCTTTCTCTTCTCCTACGGTTGACTAGAGGAACCATCTTTGGCGAGTATTAGGAACTTAGACCATTACAAATACCGTGCTGTTAGTTTGCAAGGCATGTGGACTAAGTCAGTTAAACAAAAATTTCAGTTAAACAAAAATTTCAATTTCAAGTGGGTCGAGAGTACTCGACTTGAAAGTGGGTGTTGAGAATCCTCAACAATACTAAAGATAATAATGTTCAGAAGATGAGGCAGTATAGTGAGTAGTAGAGGCTGAAGAAGAATAAATGTCATGTAAGAGATGAGCACTATAATAATCATCTTGATGATAGTTCACCAATGGCAATTTGTGCTAGA